GCAAAGAGAGAAATCAGGTGCCTGTGACGGAAATGCTTCATGATCTGCACCTCCAACTGAAAGTCCTTCTGCACAAGAGCATCTGCTTTATAAAAAGATAGACAAAAACATAACATGGATTTATTAAAAATATATGTATTGTTAATTTACCATTTCTAAAAAAATATATTTCGTTTTATTAGAGAAAGCTCTCAGTTACACAGCAAAATTTCTCGTTTTAAACATTTTGTTAGATTTATGCTTAAAATAAGAAAAAACAATCTACAAATGGAGTAAGAAGGAAGTCATTATATAGTATTTCCAAGTAAATGTGTGTAATTTAAATTTTAGATTCTTATTGACAAACAAGACAAAGTTGTACTGCAGTGTATCTGTAGTACTGCATTTATTCCACTTGGATGAATCGAACTACAATATTCCAAGCCAGGGTTTGAATTGCAATTTAAATGCCGTTTTTCTGCTTGAGGTATTCGGTTGTAGATTTACCAGTGTAATGTTTAGGATCACTGCCATTCTGCATGACCTACATTGTGTTCAGCCTCGGCACACAAATACTGTGTAATGTGTGCAATGTACAATCCAAAAATGTTGGTTGTAAAAACTGTAGGGTATTCATGTCCCGAGGCAGGTGGTTGCCTTCATTAAGGATACAGTAATTTTGCTTGAATTCTGAAGGGGATTTTTGTCACATTACTCACTGACGTCCAAAAATTGCCTATCCATGTCATGCTTGTCCAGTTCCTTCCCTGAAGGAAATTCCTGAACACTGTGACTGGCAAAAGTAAGACCCCCAGCAGATCCTGAGGTTCTGTCTGGAGTATCGTGTACCTTTTGAAGTGGTTTTACTCAAATAACCACTCTTGAGAAAAGGTCGTTTGAACACTGGTGTTAAATTTCTTTTGTGTCCGTTCTATTTCTGACACAGATTTATGAAAGTTTAGTAATGTTTATTAACTCTTTCCAGCCATGTATATTGCACAGACATGGGTTTTGATCCACTGCATTAACCTGTGTTGTCAATGGGACTGTACATCTACAGTCTTGTGCTTAAATTAGAAGGTTATATCCAACATTTTTCCAGCGAACACAGTTGTTGTTTGCGATTCTTCCTGTTAAAAAGTTGTGTGACCTTCTGTCGCCAATCTGTCATGTGTGCAAGTGTGCACACAACAGAAACTAAATTGTACTCCAGACAGTCTTGTAGTGTGAGAAGAACAGCGACCCAACAACTTTGAAAATCATGCAATGTGTTCCCGGCATTACATTTATACTGCAAGATCCTATATGATTTTGCTGTGCAGCTTTTGCATTCTAATTTTCAGCTCTGCTCTGTGGCGACTCTAGCTGTGAGCTCACCATTGTTCTTGAGGATTTTGATGGCCACTTTAGTGTGATTTTTCCACCTGCCGCTGTAAACATCAGCAAAGTGGCCACCGCCGAGCATCTTCTCAAGAGTAAATTGTTCTTTAGGCAGCTCCCATTCATCGACTGAGGGGGGTGGAAGAACCCGGGGCATTTTCTACAGAAACATGAGTCAGTGGTGTCAGGAAGGAAGTTTACAAACACATTTCGTTTCATGAGGACTATCCTCACATATCAGATACTGTATCAGCATATGTTTGCTGGAGAATAGTGAAAAATGAGTTTCTTGATGTCGATTAAGTTGACATTCTCATAACAGTGAAGAAACTCTTTCAAGCACTTCCTCATTTGACAAAACTGAAAGAGAACAGGACAATAAGAGAGATATACTGTAAAAACAAGCAGAGGAGAGGAGAATCTTACCCGAAAAGAGAGTCTTACCCGAATGCAGGGTTTCCTAAGTAAATCTGAAGTGGAGAGTGGGTGAGTTTGATAATATTCAACCACCTCTAATACACTGGCAAATTGAGGAGATGGATCCACATAGAACTGACCACTAGTATGGTAGATCTTGAAGTGCTTTGCTTTGGCCTGTGATTTCACTAAGAGACAAGATTCAGAACTTCAGTCTGAAATTGTACCTTTTAGAGATTCCAATGTGTGCTGTAACAAACTCTCTAATGGCTGTCAGAAAACTACACACACACACCTGAGAGTACGAAGCCCATGCTGTCAGTCGCACTGATTCGCACAAGAAAGGATCCATTATCATTTTCTGCTGACATGAGGTGACTCAATGCCTCAACACGACTCAACTTTCCAAAAAACCACCTAAAAGAACAGAAAAGAAAAACAGGGTCATATGATTTCCTTTGGTGTAACAGCACGGGTATTTAATAATGAATCATTAATTGGTGATCATCCACTATTTAATTCACATTTATCCAATCTACTGAAAGATTAAGAAACAAATCAAGCTTCAAAATACTGTAAAAACACCATAAAAGTACAAAAAAGGTACCACCTTTTTAAGCTTTACAGTATAGTGTTGTTTGATTTGTGAACGGATCATTCCTTTGAATCACATTTGTTAAAAAAAACTATTCACCAAATTGATTCACAAAATGATTTGTTGATGAACCAATCTGTTTCTTCCGCTCAACTCTGTTTCAGTTCACATCAAGGATGATAAGTATAATGATAACTATAAATTCTAAATCTGTGAGAATAGGGAAATCCACACCACGGCTATAATGATAATGTCGCTAGAACTTTTTACTAGGGCCTCAGTAAAATGTTGTTAATAAATCCTTATGTGTCAAAGGGATTGATGTATATCGACCTGAAAATTATTTTCTCTGATAATATTTCAGCAATCAAGTCATGTGTGATTTCTGTCAGCAGTGCTAGCAATGCCAGAATCGTGACTGAATCACTATTATGATCTAATCATTTAAACAGGCAAAAATTTGGAACTTGTTCGCTAAACAAAATAAGTGCTGGATGAGGTGGATATTTAGCTAAAACGAAACTTGCAAATGTCTTCTATTGGTTGTCAATGACGAAGCAGCTCTTTATTGTGCATGCAGTTTGTAAATGTCAGGTAGAGATGATTTATATCCAAAACAGCATTAAAAGAGTATTCAAATATGGGCACACTTTTTGATGGGGGACTGTGGAAAGGCTAAAAACGCCTCTAGTAAACAAACAGTTGCTGGTAGCCATTGACTTCCATAGTATGGAAAAAAGTACTATGGAAATCAATGGTTACCAGCAACTGTTTGATTGACGACATTCTTCAAAATATCTTCAATCTACAGAAAAACTTTTTTATTCAGAACTTCAATACAGGTTTGGAAAAACATGAGGGTGAGTAATTGATACGTGGCAAAGTGACCATTGCAAATTAATTTGTCCTTTCTGTCAGAAGTGGTGTTTATTTCAGAACCGTTTACTGTTGGGGGTTTGTCGTGTCACATAGACAGCATCACCGATTATAATGAGCTTTATTACACTGCTCTCTGGAATACTTGATTCTGATTGGTCATGGTCAGTTAAGACATTCCAAGGGAGTTGTTTCCCAAAAACATCCATCATCATTAACAATGCCGAATAACACACCGCTAATCCAGGTATTTGAGGCTGGTGCTTTTATTCACTTGGATGTGTGAACTGGCTTTAATAGGTTCACAGCTTTTTTTATCAATTCCCTGGACGGGTACATTATAAGACAACAACAAAATTATTGGTCTTTTCTTTATCCAGAGTTTCTGGATGTTTTTAGTGGGCCTACTATTGCATCCTTTTTGAACCTTGAAGTCTTTGGACCGCATTTAGGAATGGTACTGCCTTAAAACATTTTTCTATTTGTGTCCCACAACGAGAGAGAGAGAGAGAGAGAGAGAGAGAGAGAGAGAGAGCAGCGAGAGAGAGAGAGAGCGAGAGAGAGAGAGAGGTGAACTATCCCTTTAAATCTTCTGTACGTGACACCTAGTACAAAAGTGAAATGTCAAGATGCATACACATTTAATTGCTTCCCAGAGTACTGAATGTGATGGATATCCAACAGGATTAAAATCACAGTCTTGGGTAAACTAAATTGTTTTTATAGATAAATTATTGAAATGATTTCATATAGCCTACATACAACATAGTGACTCTGAAACGTAAATGAACTCTGAAATGTAAATTACGATTGTTCAGATTACTGCTGAGAAGCTAAGACTGAACCTTGCAGATTTTTTTTTTTTTAAATAGCCCTGCTTTGAAAAGTGATGAGCAAACTAGCAGACCAACGTTACTTTTCAGAAATAGCTTGGACACTCACGGTTGAGACTCCACGGACTCCGCACGCGCCAGATAATTGAACGGTACAAAACCGGTGGCCGCGCGCCCTTGTGAGTCGATTTTCTTCGCACTCCACCAGTCACCGGAACTGCTGACAATCTCTAACATATCACCAGCTTTGAACGACAGCTCCTGGCCGTCGCGAGCCTCAAAGTTCCACAGAGCCGTATAAAGTGCAGCGGCTGGCTTCCGAGGTCGCAGCGGCGCGCTCGCCGGATGTCCGTAACGGTCAGATTTCATATTACCGAGCCCATCGCCGGTACAGTCGCTGTCAGTTTTCACGCTGTTTTCTCCGTCGGTCGGTGAGGGTCCGTATATTCTGTCCCATAATGTCTTAAGACATGGGCAAGTTTTCCTCAAACATTCCCCCATGAGATAACACTGTCCCCGAGAGACACCTGCTACCGGATTCCCATGTGAGACTACTGTTTTAGGGAACTGACATTAGAGTGAAACCTTCCGCATTTGAACCACGCCTGTGGACGACAATGACACAAGCTCAGTAGACTAAACAGGCATACTTTATTATTTGAGGTTAATTGCTTTACAGACTAGCAGCATGCTTCCGGTCAAACGTAAAGTCAGGTTACATTATGATAAATCGGCAAACAAATGATAAAGAAACTGCAGAAACATATATACTGAAAAAATATTTTATTTACAAGAGTTATCTTAAGAATTCATCTTGTATAATTCATTGGAAGACAATTGACTTCTGACATGGATGTGATTTCTACGAAACCGATAATGAGGACACCTACCCAGGTAGTTTTGTCATATGGCTCCTGTGTTAACCACAGTGTTAATTTCAAGACCGTGTACCTGGTACAGTTATTTGTGCAGCCTGCCTTCACATAGGCTAAAGACACTCAACAGTTCGAACTTAAAATGGCTATAGTTTTCACCGTCTCCACACCTGTCCATACTGGCAGGTGAATCTTTTGTAAACATAAACTCTGACCTGAAAACATCAGACCAAATAATCTCCTGTTCCTATTACTACAGAAACTGAACTGGCCAGATCAACTCTAGCACAAAATACACTAAGTGCAGTCTAAAAGACGGATATTATGACAGTAAATAACAGTGCTTGGCATCTTGATCCAATCATGATCAAGATTTGCTATGACGAGCTACAGATAATCTGGCCCTGTCAGATTAAGGAGATGCATGTTTCTCTCTTCCACTCTCAATGAATCTTTTATCCTCTTTAAAATCCGTAAACAAGCATTTATTATTGCACATAACTTCATTAATATAAGCAATCAAAAAGAGAGTCTATGGTATGTGCACTTTTGTCCATGCAAATCTTTTCTTCATTCTCCGTTCTGTCCCACAGAATCTTCAGTTTCAGTCCACCTCTTCTACACCTCAATGGTTTTGAAGTAGATTCTGGAGTAGATATTTTCCAGCTGACTGTGAAGGGCATGAAACGAGGGCCGTTTGGAAGCCTCCGCGTGCCAGCAATCCAACATAATGCGATAGATGTTCGGGGGGCAGCGATTTGGACATGGTAACCTGTAACCCGATGTCAGGATCTCCAACACCTCCTTATTATTCTTCCCTGTGGGCACATGCATATGAGATATATACTCTACTGCTCAAAGGTCTTTTTTTAATAAATGGATGATTTTATTCAGCAAGGATGCTTTAAATTGCTCAAAAGTGAAAGTAAAGGCATTTTTAATACTACAAAATATTTCTATTTCAAATGCTGTTCTTTCTGCAAAAATATTAAGCGGCACAACTGTTTTCAACACTCATATTAATAAAAAAATGTTTCTTGCACTGCAGATCAGCATATTAGAATGATTTCTGAAGGAGCATGTGGCACTGAAGACTGGAGTAATGATGCTGAAAATTCAGCTTTGGCATCACAGGAATAAATTACATTTTAAAATACATTAAAATAGAAAATAGTTATTTTAAATTGCAATAGTATTTCACAGTATTACTATTTTACTGTATTTTTGATTAACTGCAGCCTTAAGGAGCATAACAGACTTCTTTAAAAAAAAAACAACAACTTTCCAACATATGGTAGTGTATATGAGAAAGAGACCCATACCATCATATGGCATCTTTCCACGTGACATTATCTCATACAGCAGCACTCCAAAGGACCAGACGTCAGATTTGACTGAGAACCGCTGGTAGAGAGCAGCTTCTGGAGCCGTCCACCGCACAGGAATCTTGGTGTTTCTACTAGCAGTATACACACTATCCTACACACAAACACAAAAATGACACACTAAGATTCAATTTATTTGCAGATTTCCAGGGGCTTCTTTGACATCCAGCCATTATTACCTTGATGATGCGAGCCAAACCGAAATCAGCCACTTTACACACCAGGTCTTCTCCAACCAGGATGTTTCGAGCTGCAAGGTCTCTGTGGACAATGTGTCGATCTTCCAGATATGCCATTCCTTCTGCTATCTGACCAGCCATGTAGATCAGGTGAGCAGAGGTCAACACCTGACCCTCCGGTGCTACAGGAAGAGATGAGAAAAAAGAGATGGAAAGAGTTGCTCATTCATTGGGAACATCAGTGAAACAAAAGTGTCCAAATGCCAAATGTCTGAGACCAAACTAAAAACGTGGGCTTCAAAGCATAATTTGAATTGCTTTACACACTGAGGAAGGCTTTGAGCCGAAACGTTTGTGTCTTTTCCCATCAGTAATGAATGTAAAATAAAAGAAAAAAGAAGATTGTTCTCGTGAGCGCGGATCATAATCTCCTATACTTCAAAGCATAATTGAAATCTGAAAATAAACTAATCTGAATTGAAATCTGGTAAAGAATTGGAAAAAAAGTTTTGTGATTTAGAGTATAAGAAAGAAAAATGAGTTCAAATTATTTCAGATTCCGCATTATTTTTAGGTCGGTAAACAAAACGAGTATCACTAATACATTAATGACACTGATCATGTGATTCTTTGTACAGATGGTCAGATGTTCTTCCACTGGAGCTCAAAATCTTTGGATTATCTCAAATCATACTGGAGAACACAATGATCTGGACTGTGGATTTCATGCAGCTTTGGTCGTCAAAGCAGAAGGGGAAGGTAACAATTTTCAATTCAACTTTTCAGTCAAAGCATTATGCTCAAAATATCATTTCAGTTCAAGAAGTGACGTAATAATTTACTGAGATGAAAATGAAACACTTTTATGTGTTCAAGTGGGAAACAACAAGCCATATTTATGTTAAGAAATTGCTTCACAGACTGAAGGAAATGATGACTTCATGTACATTTGAACTATAACCATAAAACACTGGAGTCACATAAAGCCATAGATGTTTGTCAGTGCGGACGTGATTGTCTGATAAGAAAACAAAATGTAATGTATGAAATACCCAGACCAGATCTGGTGCAATATTATATAATACTACGCTATTCTGTAGTATACAAGCACTAAGTGAACAAGGAAAAAGAGTGCAGTGACACTTACAAGCAAGATACGATTTGAGACTTCCTTTAGTCATGAGCTCAGTGACAATGTAGACCGGCTCCCCTCGTGTGCAGAGAGCCAACAGCTCAATCAGTTTAGGATGGTGCAGGTTTTTCAGTGCATGGACCTCCTTCACAAACTCATCCAATTTTGTGTCCTCTACAGGGCAGAGTAAGAGAACAACAGATCAAGAATCACCTTTATCCATTGATATTTTTATGAAAAAACATTTGTACATGTGACAGTGGTCCTTTTCTCAAGATATGATGCAGATCCAATTGACTTTGAAACAAAGCCCAAAAATTGATATGAAAATAATTTGTGGATAAGTACAAAATTATAAATTTCAAAGAGCAAACAACATAAAAATCTTTTTGAGTGCTGTTTCATTCCTTCAGTGCTGAATTACATAATCAGTTTCAATTTAGGCTTATTGGTGTTTTGGCAAAACATTTTCACATCCTCATATACTGTATATTACTTATATGTGACCCTGGACCACAAAACCAGTCATAAGGGTACATTTTTGTAAATTGAGATTTATGCACCATCTGAAAGCTGAATAAATAAGCTTTCCATTGATGTATGGTTTGTTAGGATAGGATAATATTGGCCGAGATACAACTATATGAAAATCTGGAATCTGAGGGTGGAAAAAAAATCCAAATATTGAGAAAATCGCCTTTAAAGTTGTCCAAATGAAGTTCTTAGCAAAGCATATTACTAATCAAAAATTTCGTTTTGATATATTTACAGTAGGAAATTTACAAAATATCTTCATGGAACATGATCTTTACTTAATATCCTAATGATTTTTGGCATAAGGGTAACAAAGTGCATTTACTGCTCAGTTGTAACATAAAATAGAAGACCCAGGGGTTAGCTTATTCCTGCTGTCATCTGATATATTTATTCAGAACATTCAAAGACACTCGTTTTGAAAAAATATCATTTTTAATTATTATTTAAGTATTTTTGTTGTAAATATAAATTTATCTATAAATATAAATAATATAAATTTTCAGTTTACTTTGCCGTTATTTCAATAAATTATATAAAGACCTACATTTAAAAAAATAGACAGAATTCAGATCCTCTAATTCATGGATTTATTAAATAGTAACTTAATTAATTATGATAACTAATAAATTAACTCATAAAACCACCAGCAACAATGTACCACTGCAGGGGCTTTCTTTCACAGTTGTGAGGGGGAGGCAGATCTTACCCTACCTATACTATTTTTTCCCGATTTGATTAGGGGTTGCCTACTGTTATTTGATAGAAATATATAATATAATACAATAAAACAAAAACAATAAAGCAAGTTGATCCAGGAATATGTCCTTCTTGGTAAATTCAGCATGAAATGATTCAAAGACCTTAACAGGCTTTCACAGAAATAACAATAAAACATAATCAAGTGTTCATATCAAGTGCTCCTAGTCACAAAATAAAAATCTGAAAGATGGTAAAGTTGTTCAAGTGAAAACACGAAATGCATAAAAATGCAACAAGGTTGCTGTGCTATCCTTTTAGGAAGCAAGTGAGTGAATGGGCTTGTGTTAGTGTCTCTCAGTGGAGCTGTGTGTACACACACACTCTGTTATTCAGCCTCGGCGTCCTCCTTGAAAAGGAGGAGAGAAGAGCGGACGATAACCATGAGGCCAAACCAGACAGAGCGCAAGAAAAAAAAAACATTTCTGTGCAGAGCTGCTGATTAAGATTAAGGAGATTAGAAAACCAATGTAACCACTGCAGGCCGACTGGTGCCATCGCCCAGGGCCACTTCTCCAGAAACAGACCGCTTCTCCTTAATGCTAATTGAATCTCTAATGCAGAACTGATACCCATAAAAAGGATGCCTATTTATGAGCCTTAGTTTCATGAAGACAAAAAGTGATGTCTAAAATTAAGATGTCGCTCTTGGGTGTGTATTAAATATTAAGAGTGTCATACTTGCTGTTCACATGGCTGGTCTAAGGGGCATCCCAGACTCCTGGAGTTTTGTTGGTAGTATCTGATGAGCTCATCCAGAGTGCCAAAAGAGATCTTGTCAGATACAAAGTAAGCACCAATCGCTGAGCGATGAATACGGAAATGGAAGACACTATTTTCACTTCTGGCTGTGAAGAAGAGAATCAAATTTTCCAACATTAATATTTTTGAAAAAGTATTTTTAGCACTTTTTAACCCTGATTTTTTGTTGAGATCGACATATCTGGTCCCAGCAGCGCCAGTGAATGTATATATAAAGATAATAAAATAATAATAAAGATAATAAAATGTTTCTCTGACTGAATCAAACCGAGTAGGCAGATATTAATGAATCTGAATGCTTCTGTTTTACGAAGAAGTAGATATGCACTTTTCAGAAATATGACTGAGAATAAATTGAATTCCAATAATAATAATAATCATTACATATATTAATATTTTATATCTGAGACCCTTTAATATATGAAATAAAACATCTTTAGTGGAGGACTTGAGAAGAATGTTATCAAATTGGAAATGCTGTGTATAATCAATTTTGACAAGATTAGCAAAAATTATTGAATGGCTTTGCGGTTTTTGAGACCTTAAAAAAATACCCGCTACTCTTCTGTGGAGACAGAAAAATGCTTAGTCAGTTGCACATGGAAGACAAGCTGTGGGGTGGAAAGAGAGAGAGATAGAGAGAGAGATGCTGGCCTGAAAGGATGAAGGATAAGCAGAGAGTGGATATCTTTGGCAGAAAATAATAAGATTGATGAAGTGGAGGCTACGTTGTCATGCAGATCAGACAAACGGGAGATGAGAAAGAAAGAAGATGATGTATGAGAGAAAGACAAGGGAATACGGGAGGGAAGTACTGGAGGTCTCCAGGCAAATGAAAGAGAGTGTGAGAGAGAGGGAGACTGTGTCTGCGAGAGAAGAAACAAGGGAACGAACCAGAGATAGTATATTCATTGCTGTGGCTCTCACTGATCCTCACCAGGAAGGAGCCCGTTTTGTTCTGTGGACTTAGAAGCAGCTTCTCAGCCTTTTGTCTGTTTATATTCCCATAGTACCATCTGTAAAACAGATGCACATAACACAGCTGAATCAATGAATACTTCAGAACCTGTCAAGACCATGTCCAGGTCATATTTCACCGGCAAAATCCAAAGAAAATAAGTATTTACTTTTATACATAATAAGTAATAATTCCATTTTTTCATTAATGTAATATGTAAAAATAGTCATTTCAAAGTATGTTTATTCATTATATTCAGTGTTTTGCCTTTAATTAATGCTGATAATATATCAGCGTATATAATATAAATAAAACCAGGAGAAATGTGCATAAATGGGCATAATATCATAAAATGAATCTTTATGATATTATTCTGAAATATGAATATTTCCACGTTGATAGATAAAAGCAAACACAGCACATTTACTATCTACTGCATGTACAATTCTGTACTAAAGTTTGAACTATCAGCTAAAATATTAATAATATAATCATTAATAATGCATGTTTAGTACCGTAATTAGTCTTTTTTTTTTACATTAGAGTAATTGGATTGCATTACTAAGTAATGAGGAATGAACAACAATAATATAATATAATGTAATATTTTATAATGAGATATTCCACATGAAATATGGTATAATTAAATAAACTCCTCCAAAAAATATATTCTATAAATGGTTAATCAATATGTTATGAGTTGTGTAGAAACGCTAATACAGCAAGAATATTAAACCAATTTGTCTAATATCCTGGGCTTTTAGAACATGCCGTTCACTTATTTCAGTGTTTGAATTAATACTCTTATTTGCTGATATTTATTACAGTGAGAGAAAGAAACACCTCATATTTTGCCCATATTAACCACGTTCAGCTTCGCACAGTAAACACTGTGGCGTCATGCAAAGTGTTGCCATGTTAAATATGGGTGCAGCAGGTGCACTTGCTTGTTTAGCACAATCCCATGGTGCTTCAGTTTCAGTGAAACTCCGGCAGGTGACAGGTGCACCAGAGGCCGAACACACACTACTCTGACATAACAACCCGTTACCCGTCAACACTATTTAGGAGGTCTTTATGGCGAGGGCAATTGACTGACCCCATTACAGCAACCAAACAGAAGTAAACGATACAGCACAAATAAAAGAAAACCGTGCACAGCCCATTGTTCACACGGACAATGATAAACCCCGTTGTGAATTAAATGAGACAGTGCAGGTATATGAACATTCCTTGGTTGAGCTCATGTACAACCAAAACTAGGCACACTGCTTCTGTGATTTCAAAACAGTAAGGTCAGGTTTTGATCTATTGACCTTATTGTTACAGTGTGAATTATACAATGGCTTTAAGGATCTATTTATTTAAAAATTCACATTTTTAACACATTTTTAATGTCTGCAAAATCATTCGATCTAAATTTAAAGGTAATTTTCAAAATACAGTATGTCAGGGTTTGTCATGCGCAACCTTTGGGGCCACTAGTCAATTGACTTTAATAAACGGGTTTTGGAGATATATTAAAGATAACTAAATAAATAATAAAGTCACACATAATGACAGTACCTACAGTTTATGAATGTAGCAGATTGAAACCTATTTGTATAAGACAGCAATCTTTTGTTCAAAGTTAATTAGGTTCAAGTGTTAATTAGGTGGTTCTGACTCCACAAAACCACCATATTTACACCCTATAATTGGGGGGATCTTAAACCTGAAATATTTTTATGGTTGCCTATATAAAAAAACGAAATCAAATGCTAATGAAAATCTAAAATGCAATGTTTGTGTACTGTAGCGGTATAAAATATTAGTCCAGTATGAAAACAATAAAAGTCAATGGAAAGTTGAACTATTATAGAAAAACAAAAGTGCAAGTATGTAGCCTTACGTCAAGCTTTTTATTCATATTATGTGCACTACGTAGAAAAGAGTGATCATTTTCCATAAAATATGTGACCCTGGACCACAAAACCAGTCATAAGTAGCTAGCACAGGTGTATTTGTAGCAAAGCAATAGCCAACAATACATTGTATGGGTCAAAATGATCGACTTTTATTTTATGCCAAAAATCATTAGGATATTAAGTGAAAACCATGTTCCATGAAGATATTTTGTACATTTCTTACCGTAAATATATCAAAACGTTATTTTTGATTAGAAATATGCATTGCTAAGAACTTCGTTTCGACAACTTTAAAGGCGATTTTCTCAATATTTAGATTTTTTTTGCACCCTCAGTTTCCAAATTTTCAAATAGTTGTATCTCAGCCAAGTATACAACAATGGAAAGCTTATTTATTCAGCTTTCAGATGATGTATAAATTTCAATTAAAAAAAATATCAACCCTTATGACTGGTTTTGTGGTCCAAGTTCACATATAATGAATATTCTAATTAAAAATAGACAGGCTATCACTAGAAACTAGCCTAAATAAATCTATTGACTGACAGGACTTACCTGTAGTTAGCGAATTCATCCTGTACTAGGGCCACATAATTAGCAGGGACCAGTCCGGACTCCAGTGACCCCGTCAGCTTCTTGGCAAATACATAATCTCCCCTCTTTTCTATGACAGACAGTTTGTCCCCTTCTTTCACCGTCAGCTCTTCCTCACTGCGGGCTTCGAAGTCGAAGAGCGCCGCGTACACAAAACGTTATTTTTGATTAGAAATATGCATTGCTAAGAACTTCGTTTCGACAACTTTAAAGGCGATTTTCTCAATATTTAGATTTTTTTTGCACCCTCAGTTTCCAAATTTTCAAATAGTTGTATCTCAGCCAAGTATACAACAATGGAAAGCTTATTTATTCAGCTTTCAGATGATGTATAAATTTCAATTAAAAAAAATATCAACCCTTATGACTGGTTTTGTGGTCCAAGTTCACATATAATGAATATTCTAATTAAAAATAGACAGGCTATCACTAGAAACTAGCCTAAATAAATCTATTGACTGACAGGACTTACCTGTAGTTAGCGAATTCATCCTGTACTAGGGCCACATAATTAGCAGGGACCAGTCCGGACTCCAGTGACCCCGTCAGCTTCTTGGCAAATACATAATCTCCCCTCTTTTCTATGACAGACAGTTTGTCCCCTTCTTTCACCGTCAGCTCTTCCTCACTGCGGGCTTCGAAGTCGAAGAGCGCCGCGTACAGCTGCGCCGGTTTCCTCTTAGGAGCCGGGATCCGGATATCACCCGAAACCGTGCGGATCTCGGCCGGTCGAGCCATGCTCGGATAGTAAAACTCGGGCCATATGCAGTCCCACAGCGTCTTCAGACAGGGCATACAGCTGCGACAACACTTCTCCATCCCAACCCTCGCTTTCTGCGGACTCCAGGGTAGCCAGAATATTTGGCAGCTGTCCACCAAGCGAAACGGTTGAAATGGAAAATAAAAGAGGCGTGTGGGTCCCTCACCGATGGTGACCGACCTTCCGTAGCGATTCTATACCGGGATCCCTTTTGTTGAGCAAACGCGCTGGCCGCGATCATAGCGGAGGATCAGGTGAAACCGGTTCTGTTTCGGGATGGATCACATAGGTATGCGGAAAAGACATGTTGGATAGTTCAATGAGACATTAAGACGAGGAGAGGATGTTGTGGTTGAAGTACCTTGAAGAACATCCTCTTTTCATCTAAATCTAGGCTCTAATCGTCCATGACGCCCCTCTTCTCTCATAATGACCGGTGCAGTGCGCCGCAGCATTCGGCGCCTCTATCCGCTCCGGAGCAAAACGCTTCGCAGTATGTGAACCTGGCTGCGAGCGAGCCGTTTCTCCTGTAGAGCGACCATCTGTTCACTAGGCAAGCGCACACTTGGAGCTGGAAACCATTATTTGTTTATTTTTAGATTCGCCTCTAATCATAAAATTCTTACGTCTCCGCAAATGTTTGCGTTTATGAAAATTTCAGCACGCTCATTTGAGTGCGTATCTTGCGAATAAGCAGTTGAAAATAATACTATTCTGGCCTATTAGTTTTTAACACACGCGCACACACACATATGCACACGTTTATTATTATACACGACGGGGACTTCCAGTTTACATGTAGCCTTATTGTTTGTGTTGCTGTTTAATTAATATTATTTTGGGCAGTTTAGCTCTTTAATGATTTTCTGTTTATTTTGCGTATTCTGGGCTATATTTTCTGAATGACTTATAGGTTTCTGTAATTTAGAAAG